TTGTTTCATCAGAAAAGACAGGAGATATTTTTACAGAAATTTTTCATCCTTTTTTTCTCTATTATTTAATTTTATTAATTATATTCATTTTTATTGTGCTAATCTACAAGTTGTCCTTATCGTTTTCTCGTTAATTTTCATCTTTACAGATCTTTTGTTCTTTGATTCTTTTCTTTTAAGGTTTTTGCTTAAGAAAAGTGCTTTGAGGAAAAATATCTTGTAATGTATACTTTTAATGAGCCAATTAATGTTTAAAAGTATAGTTTTACTGCACATAATTTCACATTTTTCCTCCTTTTTCATCTTCACTTATCCTCACAAACAACTTTTCAATTAACGGTAATGAACAGCTTTAGCGATGATCAACATAATATATTTTTACATTACAATTTTTTTATTCATTTACTTCTTCTATTAAAAAAATCTTTTTAAACTTTTATAGAAAAAATAGAGGAAAGGAAATGAAGAAATTATGGAAGCAGCAAGTAAAAAAAAATATCCAATTTTATTATTAAATAACGCCATGGCCAAGAAGAGTGAATACATTATATAGGGAAGAATGGAAATAAAAAGGAAAAGAAAGAAAGTTTTTGTAGAGTAAAAAAAAGCAACCAAACAAGAAAATGCGTAAAATTTTTACAGCAAGAGCAAGGAATGGGGAGTAGAGAAATGGCGAAAGGCGAAAAATGGAATTTCGAAAAGGAATTTTCTGCTTTTCCATTCTTTATACAATGACAATTTACTGGGCGTCGCTTTTCTGCTGAATGCCATGTTGCAGTGAATGAAAAAATATAAAAGAAAGAAGGAAAACTTTAGAGACAAATGCTTTCATTTCTATTTTCATTTTTTTTTGTTTCTTTTACTACAATTCAGACATTTGAAATCATTCTTTCCATTCTGTTTATGAGGAAGAGAAAAAATATATAAAATTATATTACAGATTCCAATTGAAAAAATATTTTTACGTGTTTTTTGCTGAAGTTAAAAAGAGAAGAAAAAAAATCAATTTTTAAAGATTTTTTCCTGAAGACATGCTGTATTTAAGTATATGATCAGACAATCTTAAAATCTGGCTTTCGATAGACCAATAGACATAGTATTCCAGTATTATCCATCATATTCTGAACAGCAGATGCAAAAGTTTTAAAAACTTTCCATATTTTCATTTCATCTTTTGAGAATTCAATTTATGGCAACGATATTATGCATGCCTTCATATCCACAAGAGTGTATGTAAGCAAAAAAATAATTTATTATTTAAATATAAAATTAACGATTCATCAATCATCACAGGATAGCAAATAAGAGGGTGAGAAAATAAGCATGAATATAAAAGTAGATGAATTTTTACTTTACTCATGAGAGCATGAAAACCGTAGAATACGAAAAATAAAATTAATGGAAAATATGATGACTGAGATATAAATATAGTATATACAATAAATGGAGCTTTAGGTACTGCAAACCATACGCGAAAGACAATGAAAACAATTTCCTTAAATACAAAAAATACAGCTGAAAGTATAGCCAACAAATAAATTGTTGAGGAAATGAGGCACATGGGAATTTATAAGAAAATGCCGCCAACAAAAAGTATACGCACAAAATAAGAATATTGCTCCTTTTAAACATCTTCTCCATTATTTTCATTTTATTTACAAAAACATGACATTCAAAATACTTTGAATGCTAATTAATCTAATTAAATGAATTAAAGGGCATCTTCTCACCTTTCGTATTACTTTTTATTCAACCACATTTTGCTTTTTCAAACCACTAAAGTTAATGAGAAATTTTCTCACTTTTCAAACAACAACATCCTGTTGTTGCAAAATAACACAAGTCACATTTCTAGTTATGGTTTTTGGTTTCGATGGTTAACGTAAAATGAATGAACGAAAATTAAAACAAAGTAGATAAATCGAGGGGATGGAAATTATTTTAATGACTGTACATCCGGAATGATGTTTAAAAAATAAAATGAATTATGAATTTTTCGTTTTTTAAAGATAAATTATTATGCCAACTGTTTAAGTTTTAAAGATTGAGCAATAAATTTTTATTTTGTATTGAGAACAAAAATTATAAATATATGCTTTGGCATTGATAAAGGATTTCATGCTAGTCACAAAACATTAGACTTATTAGGTTATGAATATTCAAATGTAATGCATCGTTCCTCAAATATGTATTATATATGTTGGTGAAATAAAGAAAAGACAAGCTTAAGCAAGCATACCATGGCATCAGCATAAGCATGATAAAAGCAGATCCAGGAAAAAATAATAATTTATGTTGTCAACTTATATTTCCATATTTTCTCAACATTATCGTTTGCCATTTCTTCATATAATTTTTTTTATCTCACTCTAATTCGCGTTTTTTTATTTTTTTATCATTGTTGTTTTTTTCCTATCCAATTTGTCTCCTTCTTAAGTTTTCCTCATTTTAAATTTATTAAATTACACAATCATTTTTAATTTAATTTTACTTTTTTTTTGTTCATGTTTACATCATCATGGTTTTAAAATGTTTATAGTTTCCTGTAGTTAAGACACTTTAATTACGATTTTTTTATATAATTTTATTTTCCTCGTGAAAATGAAACGTCCATTTTGAGAAAGACTGTAATAGGAAGAATTAGACACGCAACCGAAATTGGTTTTTTTTGAACGTACTGATTTTGAGCTTAATATATACTTTGTTTAGCAATTTAATGAATGAAAATCTAGTTAATGACAAAACGAATTTAGTATAAAAAGATTTACATGAATTATTATTATGTAAAAAAGAGTCAAATTTTAGATAAGATAAAATTTTTTTATAATTTCTCTGATAACAAAAGATCGAAAGAAAATGATCAATTTTGAAAAATTTATTTTCTATACGTTCACTTCACTTGCGTAAAAAAGTGGTAAATTTATAATAACCTTATTAAGTGCATTGTCATTATTTATAATTTATATGCGCTCATTATTCGTACACATTGTCTTGCATTATATTGTGTTTTTGCTGAAGAAATATTTATATGTACGTGTTTGTGTGTATGTGAGTGTGTTTTTAAAAATTCATTTTTGTATAACTTGACGAATTGCATTTCAGTGATTTTCTTGTGTATGTGTAGATGAATTGATTTCAAAAAATGTGATTAAAAAAATAATGAGAATTACTTCTAGTGCATGGCGATGTGAAAATTTTGAATTCTTAAATTTTCAGTTTTTTTTTTCAATACAAAACATTAATTAATCTATATTTCCAATTATTTAAATTTATTTTGATTAATATCACTTGGATTTTTATTATTATTTTTTTTTATTATCAACTTTTAAAGTCAATCGTAAATTTTTTTCTTTTGCCAAAATTTTACTTACACTTATATATATATTTTTTATCAACATTTTATTAACTTTTTTTTTTCATTCAACACTTACATAGAAAAACAAACACTTCATTGTTTCGCTTAAGTTCGCTTTTCTCAGTTTTCAATTCACAATTTTATTGAATTTGCATTGATAAGGTATTGGATGCTAGATGATAATAGCTAATTAAAATGGTGTTATTGTCTTCTATAGATTAAAATTTTCCTTAAGAAAGTATTTGGCAGTCATAATTTTATTTACCAGCAAATTCCAATTGATTGAATTGATTATTGAAATTAAATGTTTAAAAATTACTTTTCAGAACAAAAAATTGTAAATTAAAAAATAAAACAAAATTTGTTTAAACATCTGAGATTGGAATTTGTATACTTAAAACGATGAAAAGAAATTTCAATACCTTATTTAAATACAAATTCAAGTTCTTCTATTTTTGAACAAGTTTTTCATCTGTTATTGTTAATTGATATTAATCATATTCCTTAGTTTCAGTTGTCTTTTTCAATTTCTTTCTTTAAAAAATTATCTCATTGTCGTATTTCATTTTTAATTTCATTACAAGTTTCTTTTTTATTTGTTTAATTCCTCCTATTTCTTATTTCATCACGGCGCAAATGATGTAATGAATAAACCGCGATGTATACGAGACTGTGGTAAAATCGTTTTGCGCGAGAGAGAGAATGAATGAGATAGAAAATGGAAGAAATTGTAAGAAACTTATTTACTTGATAGAGTTAAAAATTAAACATGCAGCATAACACTATTCCATAATTAATTATAATGATAAAAGAAACGAGAAATAAAAATGAATTAAGAAAAAAAAAGTAATGAGAATGAAAAAGTTGTCTGTGCTGCACAACGTTATTAATGACTATCCACATAACAATAATCATAATCATAATTTTCATTTCATTGTTCTGTTTTCTGCTCATTTTTATTGCGAAAACATTTTCTCTCTCATATTTATTTTTTCTTCCTTTTCTTATCTTCATAATAATAATCATCATGTATTGTTGAAATTTAATTAGCTTTTATAATTGTATGAAATATCATACGAGTACCCATATTACATATAAATATGATTCCTTGACATACCATTTCAGATGGATGGATGGACGATGGTTGAACTACTGTAGAGCTATCATCATCATCATGATCATAATACAATGACTTTCTCGTTCATTGTATTTTTGCTAGTTACTTCTATAATATCCTTGAGCTTTTTTCTGCTTCTTTGAGAAAATGTTGTGCATCATGGTCTGGTGATTTTCAACTCTCGCACTGCCACCATTTTTCCATTTGCTCGTTGTACTTCTTATAATTTCGCTTTATATAATTAATTAATTAATTGTTATAGTCATTGTTATCTTTCAACACGAAACAATGTGGGTTTAGTAGTTTTAGCTTTACTTGTAGTAATAATAATGGTAGTAGTATTGACTAAATAACAGCTAACTAAATCATCATCATCATCATCATCATCGTCGTAGTTTTTAATTTTGTAATAATGATTCATTTTGCTATAAATATTATTATCATCAATTAGTGGCTATCTTGATTGGCCAGGGTCCGAAGCCAGTTTTGGAACATACTCCAAACGCCAGCAACGAACCCAGGCGTATGCTAGAAATCACTGCTTCCCATTTTCAATAATTCAAGTTTCTTCTTTGCAATCTTTGAATATTGAATATCTATTGGATTTGTTGTATCGTATAATGATGGCGCTTGGAGAATAATTAGACATGTGCCAACGACACAAGCAATGGCAAATATCCATAAAAATAAACGATCTAATACCAATGCTACGTACTTCCAGTCTTCTTCAACCTTTAGACATTTATTGTGTTGTTTCAAGTTGTTGTTGTTGAAAATAGATAGAAGAAGAAAAAAGAAATAATTAATAAGGTTATACAGGAGAGCATTTGATAAACTTTAATTAATAAGAATTTAATTACTTCCAACGTTAAAAACCAAAAATGAAAATCGTACAATTTATGAACTTAGGAATTATTTTAAAAAATTGATCTTTGAAGAGATTAATATGGTTTGTAATTTTGGTTATATTGGCATTAATAAGGACTTATATCAATAAAAAAAATTAAGATTAACCAGACATTTGAATGTTTTCATTAATGGATGTTTATTTAATTTGAAATTTATTTTCTTTCACCTAATAGAGGACGAAAAAAAAAATTAACATCGACTTTTATACCATGCAGCATCATAAGATTTACATTAAAGAGATGAAAAATATAAACTGAGCAAGAATAACAGAGAGAAAAAGACAGCGAGAGCAGAAAAATCCATTTAAATTTATCTTGCTGCTTAAATCTGCTTTTATCCTTATCAAATTTGTATATGAAAATGAGAATCTATGTTGGAGCCCTTAAAGCTGTCATTTCCTTTTGTCCCCCATCTTTCCCTTTTGCTCCTATCGTTATCTTAGTTGCTTCTTTTTCATTCTTCCATAAGCTTGACTGTTTTTTTTTTTTATTTTCATTTCTTCTCGCTGTTGAGCAAATAAAGCTGGTGTACATTAAATATTATATTAATGGTTTGGAAAGGGATTGCATGAATGGCACAGTAATACACAAGGAACGGATACTTCTCTTAAACAAAATGTTTATATTTAGATAATTTTTTTGAGGCGTTTGGGAAATTTAAACTAAATGTGTTGGAATCTTAAGTACATTGGAAGTGAAATTATATTTGGTTTTATCATTCATTTTACAGAATAATATGAAGTGCTTGAGACAAGCTCATTCTTAAAATTAAATCTAATTCAATAATGTAGGAAAATTCAAAATTAATTCGAAATTATATATTTTTTGGTTCTATATAATTGACTCTGAAGGATCAATTGAAGTTGAATCCGACATCAGTTGTAAAACTTTTGGAAATACTTTACTTCATTTACACAAAAATTAACGTCATTTCGCAATATAATTAAATAGAAATTCAATTTTTCAGGAATATAATGACACAATGTGCAGCGAGAACTCACGACAAAACTTTTTCGATTAAAACTTTCCATTTCTAATTAGAATCGACGAGACAAAATTGAAACCATTAATTAGGGGTTGTTAAAGAGAAGATAAGAAAATATTCATGCATAGAGACGAGAACTACTTAAGATGAAAATTGTTTGGAAAATTTAAGTGATGAATTTTAAATTGTAGAAACATTTTTTGATGGATAAAATAAAGGATGGAGATGCTCCTAATTGTGCATCACAATAACTTTGCTGAAAATAATAACTTGTAACTAGTTTAATTCCTCGTCAAGCATGTTTAGTATATAGGAACAATAACTGTGTTAAAATTAAATAAAAGCATCAAAAATAAGAAGGATATCGTGTTCCAGTTATTTGTTTGAGAAAACATAAAAAATAAGTATATACAAATGAATGTGAACAAACAAATTCGTACATAAAAAGTTTCATGTATGCGCTTGTATGTAGAAATTACTCATTCCATCTGAACATCATCCAAAGTTTTCTGAAGCGAAATGAATAAATTTTCATTCATTTTATAAATGGATTGAAGCATGAAAGGAAACCCCTTTTTTCGCTACTTCTTATTTTCATCATATCAATATGTACAGGCTTGTTGAAAGCCAAAGCCAATTTTTCGAGGCAAAAAAAAAAAAATAAAAGAGGAAAACAAGAAAAAAACGAGAGAAAAATTCCCTTGATAAATATTCCTCAATTAAACCCGAAAAAGCGGATGGGAATAAAAAATAAAAAGAGGCATCTGATCTATTGCGAAAAAAAAGCTTTTATTCATTTCGCTCCTTCTCTTTTCCTCTTTCAAAATATTTTTCATTCATTCAGACTATTTTTTTGCGTCTGTATATTGAATTGAATTTCTTATACATTTAGTGTTCGTGCTGAATATTTTCTTGCATTCATTAAATTAAATTGATGTTGTTAATCACTCATTCACTGCTGTCTTTTATTCTCCTTATCTCTCAAACACTGAAATTCTTTAAATATGGAAGATTTATTCAATTTACAATATTCTATTAACAAAAAAGAGGCTAAAGATTCAGTTCGGCTTTAAGGTTACAACATGTAAGCAACATTATATAAGTTTAAAGTTGATAAAAAGTAGACATTAGGAAGATGCTTTGAAAATATGCTGAACAAATTTAATTTCTAGTCTTTAAAATTCAAATTGTTACCAAGCGATTTTTTCATTATTTATTGAACTGTAGCTGTATCTTGAACTATCAAAGAGACTCTTAAACATTCAATCAATATGAAACAGCATCTTAATTAAATGGCTATTTAATTTCATATTGTAAGCATTCGTTCAGAGACGTAAGAACTCTAAGCTATCGTTCATTTGACTTTTAATCTTTTTAATACGAATAAAGTATGGGTCCGTTCACTGATGAAACGCTTTTAGGCGATCGGGGGTCTTTGATTTTGTGACAGTTCAAACAAAGAAATTTGTGACAAAGAAAGCATGAGGTCTTAAAGTTCAGATTTTCGAGTTACGTAATAAGTAAACTGTGTGGAAAATAAGAAATGAGGATACTATTATATACGCGAATAAGAAAGCCAAAATAGGATGATACGCTGGATGAAAATAAAATTTTAATGTGACCTACTTTGCGTCTTTTTTGTCACTCTATTGAATCCATAATGTCGTTTTGCATTTCCACTGAACAGAAAAATTCCCACCCTTCCTTCCCATTTTCTTCGCTCTTCTCTGTCTATCTTATTCACTTTCTCGTCTTCTTATTTTTTTCTTATTTCATACGCCCTTGTGATTTTCAGCAACCATCATCTAAGCAGCTTAATATCTATCTTTCTTTATTTCTACAGCATCATTTTCTTCTTGCTCCTTGCTTCAATTTTTTTTTCTCCTTAGTTCGACTTCCTTCTTTATAGCTTGATGATATTTTTCATATGAGAGAATGAATGAAAGCTTTCATGAATGCAAGAGACATTTTTTTGCTTCTTTTTTTCAACTACATCATTTGGATTTTAGTGAAACGATAAATTTTCTTATATTCTGCATTGTAAATGAGACATTAATTAACTTTTTTTTGTTCATTCCCTTTTTACGTTCCTATAAACATTATGAGAAAGAAAGATAGATAGATAGATAATAATATGTGGTGGTTTTAAGCACAAGAATTATCTTTTACATGTAAATGACATTCTTTTAATTCAGTTTTCGTTTTCAGAGTAATCTGTTTGCTCTTCTTACAAATGGCTATGGCTTTCAAGAAATAGTATAGAAATAGTATTACCATTGTTTAAATACGTAGTTGAAGCTAATAAGTTTAAGCATCTAAACAGCTTTATTATTGTTTTTTTTATTAATGCTAAAAAGGTACAACCTTGCTCCATATAAATTTTTTTTGAAATTTTAAGATTTTTTCATAAAAACCCTAGCAAAATGAAGAAATTTCTGTTAATTTTTCACCCAAATCCCCCTCCCCTTTCCCTGTTACGCGCCTTGGACAACCCCAAACTTCAACAAAAATCAAACCTCCCTCGAAAACGCGCCTGATTAATGCTCAGACAATTCACTGTGGTTAATCTCAATTATTTTATTAATTTTATTTTAATTTGATTTTTTATGAGATGTGGACAGTTAACAAAAATTACTTTATGCCCAAACAAAGCACATGAATTTATTTCTAAGTAATATTCGATATTTGGTTATGCCTTTTTTACATAAAAAAGAGAGAAACGAGCGAAGACACTTTTTGTGCTTTTGTATAATTGAAAATAAAAATAAAGTAGAAAATATGCTGGTACACACAGATGTAGTTTGTGTAACAAATGTTATATCATATGCTATGCAATTTTCTCTTTTGCCTGCCTTAAGGATATGAAAATCTCTTCTTTGCTTGTTCTGTTTTGCTTTGTCATGAGCTTTTAAAAAAATATTAAACTTTTTTTTGCATGTGTATATTATTATTGTTGATACTATTTTACCGTGAGAGAATCAATGAAAAAAAGAAGGAATTAATAAGTCTTGAATATTGGGGATAAAACTTTTTTGATTATTTTTTTTTTGTTGCCAATGCTTTAATTCAGAAGCGTGGAAAGTCTTTCATGCGGGAAATAGACGTTAAACTTAAACAAAACAATGGAGTGAGAAAGCAATTAATTTTCATATGAATCTCCAACATCATCAAGTATTAAGGACCACTCAAGTTCTATGCTGCCATATAACGCTTCAAACTTTAAAATTTATAAACAGAAATTCCATTCATGTTACAAATAAGAATATTAGAATAAAGTTGAACAATCAACAAATGCTGCAAAATATTGTTTTAAATTTAAGATTAATATTTTATACATCTTGTCCTCCTTGGGCTCATTTTGAATTTATATAATTGCTTAAGTTCATAAATTTTAGTTAAAAAGAAAACAGCAACTCGCTTTATTCTTTTGTTTATGACTTCCAATGTGAAAATTTTACGTACGTTTCTAAATATACGCAAGCATAAAGAAGTTAAACAAATGAAGAGAGAGAAAAAATTGTGCGAATGAAGATAAATTTTGCTCTTATTACTATCATAGGATATATCTAGTAAGATTCTTTAGAGGGGAAAACATAACACGCTGGTCATTAGGGTGAGTCAAGTTAATTAATGTTATCCAAGTTGGAAGTAATTAATTTAATTAGATAAAAGAATAGAAATTATAAAAATAGGAAATAAAAGTATATAAAATCAAGTGCTGATTCCAAAACTAAGATAAATATCAAAATTCATTTCCTACTTACTTGCTCAAATTTATCTTTATTTTTAACATGCTGCGCTACAAAACGGGAAGCTTCCATCGTTTTCTCCATTTCACGATATGATGGCTTCTCGAATGTTGGACTCACGTCACCACAACAATTTGGACTCAAATCATTGATTCCGGGACTAAAAAGTTCTTCGTCACCACTTGATAGTGGCAATGGCAGTGCTGGTAATGGGGGCTCACCAAATCGTGATGGTGGTAGCGCTATAAATAGAAAGAGAGATATTTTAATTTGAAAAACTATAATTTTATCAAGAGAATGAACTCTGCATATTTTAAGGATTAAAAGTTCGAAACAGATTCTGTCAATTAATTTAATTCAAAAGCTTTGAAAAGTTCTTAAAATTCTCCATCGAAAAGTGCAATTGTGAAAAGATTCAACAAATTTGCACGGGCACGGATCACACAGAATTTGTGTAGATCGTGCACATTCCAAATTACGAGACCAATGTTTCCATTATTAAAACGAGAAAATTTAATTTAAACTTTTCCCCAAGCACGATTTGAGCAAATGTATGTGTGCTTGATGATAGTGAAGAGGGAAGAAGTCTGAAGGAAATTTATCGAATTGTTATTTAACAAAGCGCATTTCTAAATGTTAAAAGTTGTGTGCTTGAATTTCATATTTTCGAAGCTCTTTTCCATTTCACAGTTCTAGTTACGAAGCTCGGTTCGTGTGTTGGGTGTAGTATTTATGTCTTTGGCATAGAATATGCCTCCTTTGCTAGGTATACAAGGATATACTAGCATTTGGATGCCTTACGGCATCTTGCGCACACGAATTGTGACTAGGTACATTGCAGGGTACATCAGGTCTTATGACGTACTCGTGTCTTTGCAATGTGCAAAGCTTGCAATTGGTTCGGATCCCACTATAAACTGTAGGTCTAAAGGGTACAATAGATTCTGTTCTAATTTGAATCGCAGTGCCTCCAGCTGAAAGGCTGGGCCCTTCACACATTATTATTATTATTATTATTATTATTATTAAACATGTAAATGCTGAATACTTTAAATATTTAAAGCCTACCCAATCCAGCCAGCTTGATTTAGACAAAACTTATGTGTAAAAATAAACTTTTCCTAAAACTTGACATACAAATATTATGAGACTGGAAGCGAGAAAGCAATCGAAACAAAACTTTGTCATTGAATCTCTCAGCATCCTTTTTATTTTATTAATTTGCGTCCATTGTTTCCTCTCTAAATTTTGGTTGTGTTGTTCTCAATTTCATTTAATCTTTTTCATAGCAGACATGAATTTACATATGAATTTATATAGACATGAATATTATCATATGCTTGACAAATCACATACATAGAATATTCCACATGCTGAGCTTCTAATTGCCAATTTAACTCCAGGCTTTAATATTTTAATTCAATATTATAAATTACATTTTCCATATTTTTCGTTGAAATGAATGATGAAAGAGAAAGGAGTGGCACAAATAAATCTCTAAATGAACAGATTTTATTCATTTATGTTCGTCATAAGCGACTAATTGGAATGGATACATAAATTTTCATCGTTTCCCCAACACCATAATCTCTTCTCAATAATATTTACAGAACATTGCTTCTTAAATGATTCTATTAAAAGCAAAAAGATGAAACTGATGCGAAGGAGAGAGAAAAAGAAAATAGGGAGAAATAGGAATGAATGAATCATTAATTGTTCGTCATTTCTTCTTTCTTCTCCAAGATTATGCCATTTGAAAAATTGAATGATTAATTACGGTTTTGACCTAAGGCAACAACCATTAGGAATGTGTAAATTGATTGACAAGGTTAGTTATGCAATAGTTGAGCAAAACATTTAAAAATGCTTTAAAAACTTTTTCTCCAGATAATTCTGTCAGACATGATGATAAAGCAGAAATTGTAATACAAATTTATTGCTTTTATCATAATTTTTGAGCATTTAGAATTCCATTTTAAGAAATTATTTTGATTAATTAAATGTTTTACAAAGCTAGAACAATTAATTGTCAACTTTATGCTTGTTTTATCTAAATTGAATGTTCTGTCATAAAAATTGTGTTTTCTTCAGTCTTAGAAACCATAACATTTTTCAATTTTATATTTCTTGATTTACAGCATTGATATAAATTTCAGTTTGTATTAAATTACCAGTCTTGATTATCTATCGCCAGTATTTTCTGTGTTATCGATAAAATTTATTACACATTCAATCCATGTCACCACTTACAATTAATTTCAATGAGTTTATCGACCTCACAATCAATCCATATTATGGAACAATAAATATAACCATGCTGCACACATTACTTCATCTCATCATCGATCAATTGAAATTGTCATCGTGTCTGGTTGAAATTCATGGGAACGAAAGTGCAACGATTGAAAATCAAATTCTATGTAATAAGAGTTATCAGTGTGGACTGAAAGTAAAGCAGTATGAAATTAAACAGGAAATTGATGAAGGAAGTTCAAATGGAAATGAATACGAAAAAGGGAATCGAATTGAAATTGAGGAAGGAATGCCTGAAAAGAGAAAATTATTTGAAGTCGCTGATATTTTTGAGCAAAATAATCAATCCTCCACTCCCATCGGTTATCCATTAAAGCCCATTCAACCAATATCTATTGAAGATTTTGAATCGTTTGAAACCAAAGTCAATAGCATTCATGACATAGTGGCTAGTGTAATGCCAAGTGATAGCACTATTATTAAGGAATGTGAGCAAAATGGTAATTCGATGAAGGCAATGATAGATCTAGTTAATGCTTCAAAACGCATTGATGCTTTAGAAATTGGATTACAACAAATGGCAAATGCATTAAAAGATAGTCATTGTAAAAACATCCAAATTGACCAAGTACAAAAGAAAATTGAAGAAAAGGTTTCAAAAATTGAAAATTTTGAGCCAAAACGAGATTCCAAACAAAAAGATCTCATAGATGAAGAGCATATAGCAGCTACCAAAGAAGCATTAGGCATTGTAAAGCATAAATTGAGTTATTTAGAAGATGCTATAGATAATATACATTGTAAGTGCAATGACGATGATTATGAGATGCTTTTGTTCGAGCGTTTTTATGAAAAAGCCGAGATTAATTTTGAAGCAAAATTATCAACATTAAAAGAAGACATAAAAAGTATGCAAAATACTTATAATGATAAAATTAATCAGCTGACAATTGATATAATGGATGACAGAATATCCATTTCAGAAAGTCTGAAGAAACATGAAGCTTATTTATTAAACTCCTTAAAAGAAATTCAACAAATTTTTAATACAAAATTAAACCAAAGTGAAGTAACTGAACTTAAAATGTATATTAAAGAAATTCTGAAAAGTTTTGAAGAAAAGATTGAAAACATTGATTGTAATCGAGCTATAGCTGCGGGAATCAAAGAAAAAATTTTCAAAGACATCACCTGTATTTCATGCGGCGACAGAGTCATACAAATCGACGATCCTATGGCAACGACAACACAAATGTTTGGCAGAGTTTTCACAAAACGAACCACTATAGTTGATAATCAACAACTCAACCTTTCTGAATTGAAAACGAGGATATGCGGAGGAAATCATACAATAACAGTGCCAAGGGAACGAATTTTTCGGTCAAAAGAGAGAGAAATTGTCAAAAAATAAAATGTCATTTCATGAGAACTGAGTAGATCCTTTTCATAAAATTTGAATATGATATAAATTTATAAATATGAGATTGTGATCATCAAATTAATTTTTGGTCTGTCTTCATTTTTATAAAGCTTTCTTTTTTCATATCTAGTTCAGTAAAGACACTTGTGTAGGTATGTATAACTAAGCTTCATTTTTTTGTGTCTCGTTTTGCTTGAAATGTCATTAAATTAATATTCAACATTGAAACTGATTACTAAATCAAATTACTGTATTTTTTTAGCTTAAGTTTCCATAAAAAAGCATGGAGAGGGCCCATCTTTTTGAGCTGGAGGAACTGCGATTTAAATTAGAACAGAATCTATTGGACCAATAGTTTATAGTGGAATCCGAACCACTTGCAAGCTCTGCACATTGCAAAGACACGAGTAAGTCTATAGAACTGATGTAACCTGCTATGTACCTAGTCACAAGTTGCATGCGCAAAATGCTGTAATGAAATCATCCAGATGCTAGTATATCCTAGTATACCAAGCAAAGGAGACACGTTATGTGCCGTAGACCTGAAAACTACACCTAACACACGAACCGACTAGAACGGTGAAATGGAAAAAGAGCATCTAAAGCTTGACTCTATACTTAAGTATAAATATTATTTATTATTATTATTTTTAATTTCAATCTAAAAATCCAGTTGAGAGTGAAAAAATATTCTGGAATCCATTGAAAAAATTAAATTCTATAAGAACTTAAAATAACATTAAAAATTTTCTTCAATATTTGAAATATTATATCTGACAAAACACTATTTTAACAAGAAGAGATTGTCAACATTTTGATATCCTTCAGCACTAAAGGGTTCGGCATTTAGATTTCTGTAATCTGTGACATAACAACATCAATAGGCATAAACTATGATAATATTTCTGGATTTATGTAGGTAATATGTCAGAAAACCCTATTTAGATAAACTATTGAAAAAATATGTAAAGTTAAATATAAATCTTCTGAATGTATTTTTCGACGCCGTGTCACAAAAAATATCAAAAAGCTTCAGCAAATTTTAATATATTCTATGAATGTTTTTATGTGTGTATAAACGCTTCTCTTCTTCATCCCATTTTCATTCATTTTTTTTTCTATTTGACAGCAGAGGCATAACAACATTTTCAGCTCGTTATTTAATTTATATTTTAATGTGATGGGATGTCGAGAGAGGGAATGGTTGAAATGTGTAATATAACAGAAGAGCATCAGAAATCCTTGACATAGAAATTATTCATGTTTTTTTTTGTGTATGGAAGAGTATTTGTTTGTACGATGCCACTGATGCCGCATGTACGATGGCTTTGTATGTGATGAAAGAACTTGGCGCATCAGCAAGAATAAATTATAATACATTCATTCACATAAAAATGCTTTTAAGGAGGCCGTGAGAGACCAAGTCGACCCTTTCTAGCTAAAATTTCCAACCCACCCGAATGAACAAACATGTAGAAATATTTTCATCCATTTATTTCATATATATCCATATATAATGCTAAAGAACAACATTAAAACTGCTGCTTTTTGGCTGGTACTTCATTATACATGTCTTATGCTGTATCCATAATGTTAAATTAAGTTGAAATACTGTCTACATTCTAATATCTAATAATGTTATGTTATGTTGTCTCTCTTCTAATCTTATTAGATTCCAATGTATTATATGAAAGGCAATCTATGTATTTATTTATGTATGAACATTCATTTAATTTCTTCATTCTAACACGCTACTATATTTTATTTATTGGATGTTTATTTACAATTCCACTCTTTCGCACACATACATACTCATTTCTCTTTTTATTATCATTATTATTTTTTTTCTGCCTGAGTTTAACATTTGGATACATAAAAGGGAGAAATATGGATACATAATAAACTGCTAGTGTAGTTTAATTTTTTTTTTATCTTTGAAAAAACTTGCGGAAGCTATGCTTAAAGCCAATAATAATAATTTACTCATGTGTGCAAACAGATAAATAGAATCGCTCTGTTTACGAAGAGGGTCAAATGATTGCATATTTTTGATGATTAGATGATGGCATAGGAAAATAAAATAAACAGCATAAATCTTTTATTGACATTTCCAAATAACTCAATGGATGATTGGGCTTTATGAATTCTTGGGAATTTTATTAATATTACAACTCCTTGTTTTGCTTTGACATTAATTGAATTTCTATTAAGATTATGATGATTTAAATCTGCTTAAAAGTGGATATTTTGAAAAGGACATATCTATTCATGAGATTTTAAAATGCTTAGAAAAGGCTCAAAAATAACTTTCTCACAAAAGATTCCAATAAGAAAAAACAAATGTCATTTGAAATGCCACAGAATCTTATTTCCTTTTGAAAGTCTTTGTTGATTAAAGTGCACACAATTAACCAGAAATCAACTGGATATGCTAGTCATATTAGAAAGATCGAAAAAGCAAAGAAATTGAATTAATTGAATATATTGTAATCTGTATCAAATTGTGCCTTGTGCTTTCTTGTAATTTAATGGACGAAAAACCAAAAATAAACTGAGCATAAAAGAAGAAATAAATAATAAAATGTAGATAATGCTTTATGTAGAACTTATATGCATTCACAAGATGAATGGTTTGCTTTTTGAACAAGTGAAGCAAATGAAATTGGCTAAGAAGATTAAAATGCTCGTTCATTTTTTTTCTATGTCTACAAGATGTATTTCCAAGTATATGGTTATATAATTTCTGTAAGTCTAATATGAAAAGAAACTGAGAAATTTTCTTTTTATGATGATTTCATATTATATAAAGGAGTAATTTAATCTTCCCATATACTCGTACAAAAAAATAAATAAAGAAACGGCTGGAAATGAACTTGAGTCATTAACTCTCATTGCATGATATTCCCATTGCTTCATTTTCCGTTTTCTACATCGCAATTACTTAACTAGGATTTACTAAGTTTAATCAATTTCATGTATGGTTATGTATGAATGTACGTATATGCGCTTCTTGCTAAGCTTCATTTAATGTCTAATGAGGCCATTTGTGTGCTTAAATCAAGCTTTCTTCATACTAATTTCATTTCATTATGATAATTTTTACTGACTATGGTTTTAAGGATGAATAGCAGCGCTTAGGAATTATACAGCAAATGTATTCTCTTCAACCAATCCAAGTTGGATAAAACCCCATATGAGTATTAAAAATTCATATTTTGTTTGCATTACTATCATTTAAACGGCAAGCTTAGCTTAGATTTTGTTTCTAGAGTTCATCCTTTTTTTAAAAAAAATTATAACGCGATAATTATAAGACATACCTGGTATATCAAAATCAGTACTAAATTTGTTTGTACAAAATGGTGAATATTTCTCCACATTAGGTGGAACATGGAACACATCGGTTAACACTTCTGGCGGCTGCTCTTCATGCGACTCTTCCTCCTTTTTCGGTCTTTCTATGCACAATATTTTAGGTAGATAGTCGATGAATATTCGTTGAACCCATGGCGCCATTTTGTGCGTCACCGGCGATCTGTTAAAAATATTTTACATAATAAATTGATTTCCTATAGAAGTATGGCTTATGACTTACCGAAAATTAACATTTAACACAGCAATTGTAACGACTACCGAAAGTGTAACTAGCATCATAGTAAAGAGTAGATATTTTCCCAACAATGGAACAGTTAATGACGTCGGTGGAATAATTTCAACAAGCAGTAAAAAGAACACGGTGAGTGATAGCAAAATGCTGATACACAATGATATTTTCTCGCCACTATCCGAAGGTAAATAGAAAACTAGTACTGATAACATTGATATGCCAACACATGGTATAATTAAATTAACCGTATAAAACAATGTTTTCCTTCTAATTGTTATATTAAAAACTGCAAGAAAAATAATTTTTAAAATTAATGTGTGAATCAATATGCTACATATTTTTGGTACACTTACTTATATCCTGTCAAGAATAATTGTAAGAAAAGAAGAAAGAAATTAAATTATTTAGTAACAGCTTTCTGATTCTCAGTTAATATCTGTATTGCAATATCCGAATTACTGCGCAAAAACTGGATATGCTGAATATTTTTTACAAAAGAGATTTCAAAATTCTCGTATTTTTTTTTCATTAACTGCTCAATAAATTTTCAGAAAGTAACACTGAAAATATTTAATTTCGAATTTTTGCATAATAAATGAAGTAAAAAATAACACCGCATAATAATTACAAAATTATCATCATCAACATCCACTTTTATCTCTCTCGAGTCATGACCATGAGACTTAATTAAATGCATTAATTATCAAAAAAAAAAAATATTTATTAATTTGAGTTCAGTAATGCATTAATGAGATAAGTACGATTCGGACCTGTCATTTAAAGTAAATGACAGGAAATCGATGAGTCTGATTTCAAATTATTGTCATTGCAGTAATTCGAATATTTATACGCGTTGGACATAATTTTAATCAAATTAAAAATGTTTTTGATGAAACTCACGGGATAAGGTTCCTATAAAGCACATGTAAATGAAAAAAAGATAAGTAAAATAATTAGATGTTATTCCTAATCAATTATGCAATTAGATTACATACCTCACAACATGAGTAGAACTGAATGATGAGATAAACAAGAGGAGAGGAAAAAATAAATTATTCATCAAATCAGTCATTAATTGCATCAAAGTTTACCTTCTCATTTCTAACAGCAGGCACCTTAAGGATTTCCCATTCAACTGATATATAATAATCCTGTAGATCTATTCCTACATCAATAACATCTGAGTCGGGTGATTGAAGCAAGTGTCGCAGGTCAATCTTTTGATAATGACAGTAATGATTGGACAATTGCGTGTAGATAGATGATAGAAAAGGAAAAGAGGATTAAATTGAAGAATTATTCTTTTTTTAAGTCGTGTCTTCTACACAGCAGGTAGAAATGGTTTATAGCTTGGTAAATCACCATGAGCAATTGTTTTATTTTCTTCCTTTTTGTCAGTACATCATCAGTTTGATTATCGGTATAATCAAAAAATATCAGCAGCAAAAAAAGACATTTGAAGAGCAAGAAAGTGAAAAGAGAGCAATCGAGAGGAGCGAAATGAAGTTATTGGAATGATGAACATAATAATCAAATCATCAAATGCGCACATCATAATTTATCTTTCATCGTAATCATATTTCACTTCATCAATCGTCAACATAAATCTCCAATGAAATCTCAAAATAAGAAACAAAAAATAAGCACGAAGAAAAAGGAAGCAAAATGAAGTAAAACTTTTTATCATGAATATGTATATACATATATATCTATTTGGTGAGTGCGTGCATTAATCAAGGAATATGTAGAAAAATCTATGGTTAAGTCTACACACTCACTTATAGTTCGTAAATTTGTGGAATGTACGTGAGCTCTTCTGATTAATTCTGTATATTTATGTGAAAGTTTTTTTCTTTCTTTTTTTTCATTCGTATTTTTACTTTCCTTTCAATAGTAGAACAAAATTCAATGTTCTCATAATTAAAGTCCTCTTTTGTTTATTTTTCTTCCCAACTGTGATGTCTGTGTGTATATATGTGCTGGTGATTTAAGGATTTCTGCTTAATTTTCATTTCGCCCCTCTACTTAAGACAACATGACTTGATGTTGTGTATACATTCACAATCATTTTATTAATGTATATGCCCTCAAATGTATATGTACATGAAATTGAATTACAAAATCAGAAAACAGAAAGGAAGAGATGAAAATGGCCTAAAGTCAATGTCTTTCCCTTTTTTTTGCTTTTGAATACTTTATTTGGTTTATATATAAACACACATAAACCGAAATGAATACAGAAAGGCTAAACTAAGTCGGGTGATTTTATTTTTTTGAGAGAAGTACGGACAACATTAAGATTGATATACATACCATATAGCCATCGTAGGTCCATGATCCGAACTAAAAATATCATTATCATCATCATTATTGTCGTCGTAGTCATCGTTTGAAGATTATGGAAAAGAATAATATATAAAAGGACATATAACATATTAGTTAAGTCCGTTATGCCACAATGAACATCAACAGAGATACAGAAAAAAATGCTTTAGGGAATATCCGAATGTGTATTCATTTCCTCATACTATCCTTTTTTTGACTTTATGCTACTAACCTTCATCAGACATGTTTGTTCGTCAAATGGGAAGTACTCCACATCGATTTCGCAAAATGATTTATAGATTGCTCTGTGGACGAGAATGAAAAACGAAAGTTGTGGGATTTAGAATATTTTCAGTTTCAATAAATTTGTTATATATCTCAAAAAATATTAGTTTAAATCTCGAAGATCTTGTGAGATGTTTAAGTTTTGTATAAAATATGTAAATATTTTAGCAAAATTAAAATATAATCTTAAAATAACAAAAGCTACTCACGGTGGCTTCCAAAGTACTTTTCCTGTATGATGAAGTATTGCTTTTGTCATTATTGTTACTTCATAGTTGCCATCCGCACTGATTATATGAAGTGAAGCACATTTGAGGTTGGAAGGAAATATAGAAAAAGTTTTGTTAGTGTAATTTTACTTCATAAGGTTATGACAATGGCAATAGCACAAACCTAAGTGCTGAGTACATAAAAGTATTAAATTTATTGAACAATTGATACTTACTTATTGTATAAAACGATATCAGGAAGCCTGCATATAAAAAAGACATGATAAAGAAAGGAAGAATAAAATGTGCTAGAGCTGCATTTAAAATTATCAACTTTACATACCATATATGTTCAGATGGCACATGAAGTGTATCAACACCACCATAATCGTCTGGATTCCATTTTAATTTATAGTCATTCCACTCCTAATGAAAATAGTTGTTAGCAATGTATTTGTTTGATAGCGGTTACATAAGCAGAGTCATCATTGTCATCATTATTTGATAAAAGGAAAGAAAATTAGACAAGAAACAAAGAAAGAGGAAAGGATGAAAAGAGAAGAAAAAAAGTCATTTAATGGAGATGTTTTAGCGTAATCTAATTGAATTTTCATGCGATGTAAACAAGATTTTCCTTTTTGCCCATTCTTTCTGCATCTTTTATCCGAACATGGAAGTACAAAAAATTGCCTTAAAGTCACTTTCACATTCAAAGATTTCTCGTTTCATGCTGAAGGAAATTAAATATAAGTAAATTCTTTATGATGACGCAATGACACATCACTTTTCATTCTTTACTTTTGCTAAATATATTCATTCTATCCTCTTCTTGTCTTCCATTGAAATCTTACTCGGCATAAATTGTGGTAAAAAAAACGTAACAAAAATTCAATTAAATATTTGAAAAATGATAAACAAAAGAGCTTATTCCTTTCAACAATGCGAATTGGATTGTCAACGAAGATTTTGCGAGAAATGAAAAGTTCTCTTGAGAGCATAAAATGAAATTATCAAAAATAAATTGCTTTCTCATGAAAAAACAAAAAAAGAAGAATTTTCTTCTCGAAATCGAATTGAATTGAAACGTAAATTTTTAATGACTATGGTGTTTTCATTATTCAAGCCAACCTTTTGTTGAGGTTAAATGGGAAAAAAGTTTGAAATATCGTTTTAGTAGATCATGCAACAAAAAACTTGAAATTTTGTTTAAGTCGATCTTGTTTGATTGCAATTTTAAATTTCAACCCAATTTCGATGTAAATTTTTCTTAAATTAATCTTAATTATAATTTTAGTTTGAACCAATGTGATGCAGTGGCGTAGTCATATACCAAACACACCATTAACACTAGATACTTGCATGCTTAGTAATGAATAGCCCAGCAATAGCTATTGATTTTTTGTGAATGCATTCTAAAATTAAGAATGTGAACTTTGGCATTGTTATATAAATAAGATTCATAACATTTCTGAACCATTTCTGAATTGAAATTGAAAAATGTACAGGTAAAGCAAAATTGAAATATAAATGAGGAATGCGGTAACAGAGAAATCCTTGATTTAGAAAAGAATCTCATATATTTACATGCAGGAAGTTAAATTTCATCCTTGATAGAAACTTTTTATGTATTGACTTTTTTTATGCATGTAAAAACCCCCAATTTATTCTATGTCTGTGTTTGAACGAATTATTCAAACAAAATAATGCATTGAAGTAGATATGTTCATACAGACAGGTAAAACGAATGGAATAGCTTTATAGGTAATTCACATAAGAGATTTCCAAATATTGTTTTATCTGTGTGATTCAATATTGAATAAATATTTCGAGTTTTATTTTTACACATTTAAATTATACTGAAAGATTTTCAAATAGGATATAAAGAACCAGGTAGGATGGAGGGTACTTTTTCAATCCGAGGATAATTCATTAAATTTTTTTGCCATGTAAAACTGCAGAATCAGATCAAAAAAAAAAGATTATCCTAGGAGGTTGATTATCCGAAGACTATTTGTAGATTATCCTAGAATTATCCACATAATTAATCTAAAATGTTAAAACTGGGTCCAAGATTGTGAATTTGGATAATTTTCAGAATTATCCTAGGATAATCTATATACTAAAATTGTTTTTTCGCGATATTCACTATACAACAAAAATGATTTTTCTAAAACTTGCTTGATTATTTTTAAGAACAGAAAAAATTTTTTTCATTACAACAGAAAAAAATTATTTCGATTTTCCTCGCATCGGAGAAATAGATAATCCTAAAAGAGGATTATCCACCTAACTGAAATAGGCCACTGAAAGTGTTTAATATGATGCAATTTTAGGTTATAAACTGAAGCAGATAAAATTAATTTTTTTGTATTCGAGTATTCGAGAGGATTTTTGGGAACATTTTAATTTTTGACAATCTTATTGAAATATTGTTCTTATATGTAATGTCATGAGCATTTTGTGAATTATTGTTATATCGAAAATATTATAGAGAAGATCAGTCTCTGGTAGGAATCGAACCCATGTCATAATCGAACCTATTTCATATTCTCTTTTCATACCAAAAAGTTCAGTATAAAGAATTAATTTCAATTAATAAAAATTTCATTATCATTCTTTGGTGTGCATTTACAGAAGAGAAAGTATGTATGTATGAATTATCCAAAATATTCTGATAATATTCTGCACAGTATTGTGTTTGACAAATGGTTCATTGTAGAGTAATCTTTATGCAAATGTTGCGCCTCATTCTTCTCGAGATCGTTAAAATTTCATGGAGTTATATATGAAAATTTTCATTGCTTATGCATATGAGAGCTCAATTTTTAGTAGCGCAAATGGTGGCGCGTTCAATGTTGGAAATAAAGAGAATAACAAGAATGAATGAGCGCTGGAAAAAAACTGTAAGGTAAGAAGGAAAATGAGAGAAAAAAATGTAACTCAATACTCACTTGCTCCACCCAGACATTTGTTGTCATTATCTAAAGTAAAGGAAAAAGAAAAATTTAAAAATATTTTTTCAGCATCACTACTGTTGTTGAAAGCAAGCATAATATTACCTGATTTTTAAGATTCTGTGACGATGGAAAATTGCGATGACGTAAGGTGTGATGAAAAACAAATTTAATGTTAATTGAATTCGCATAAGGAGAGGAAAGAAAGATGTTATGATATTCAAGTTAATATTCTGCATATAGGTGTACATACATACATATGTATAAATATACATATCTCATTTTTTTATGAAATTTTAAAACATAAATTATGTGCAAATGTGAGTATAATAACATCATATCACATTCACGAATAATATTAAACAGAAAAAATGAAAATGTAAAAATAATAACTTTAACAGTCATCTTCACTCAACAGTATGTACATAGAAGTGATGATGATAATAATATAAGAATAAAAATAAAAGATGAAAAAGTTTTTTTAATTTGTATGCAAATAAATGAATACATTAAAACCGTAAATTGGAAATCATTTTCACACGAGAAAAATATCCAGCCAATAGGAAAAGCACAAGATTAAATCGCATAATTTACTCTCAAAAGTCTTTTAATTTTTAATTAGCATTTAATTGGAATCATTTTTAATTTAAATGAATTATTGCTAATTTTAATAAAGTAATCGCTTTTCTTTTATAATTTTTTTAAGGAATTTATTAAATGCGAATTAAATTCTATCTTATTGAAATTAACATTACTTACGACTTCTATCAATTGTGATAATTTTAAACCCATTTTCACCGTTAAACGATCCGAATTGTTACCTGTGAAGCAAGAATAATAAAATTTCATTTTTCAAGATTATTTAAATAACCTAGATGCAAATATATATAAGATTTTAATCATAGTAGATGTTTAAGATCCTTTACAATTATTCAGTTGATCTCACAATATCCATATAGTTGTGAAACATCAGAATAATAGTAAAAGGACAATTACTGTTATGACCCAAAACATTTTAGCAAAATCGATCCAATTATTATAAATTGAATACTACACATACCCACTGGCCGTATCAATCGATTGTAATTGCTTAATAAATCGTCATATAAACGTTTTGAATCTGGATTGGCCTTCCCAATTGTAAATTGTAACGCTATGAACACAGCCGCAAGAAAAACGCTCCCCATTTTAGGCCAGGTCCACCCCTATAAAAGAGAAAAAAAGAAAAAATTAATGAAATTAATTTATTAGATGTTTTTTTCTGCCAATTTATCTTCTGCTTTTAAAAAAAATTATGCATCCTTAACTTTTTTGATGAAAAATGAATATTCAAAGCCAAAATCAAAATCATTAAATTTTCAAAGTGTTTTCTCATTCGATGCTGAAAATCCAATTATCAAAGTATGGAAAATATTATGGAGGTATCTTGATGAATGTATTAAAAAACATGAGCAGTGAAGACGAGGCTCGATAGCGAGAAAAAAAACAAAAATCCCCGAAAGTAATTAAAAATCTCAAAAGAATTTTTTCTTTTCAGCATAAAACTTTCAACATTAAAATTTTAATAATATTTTTTTCTTGACATTCTTTTTTTACGTTTATTCTTATAGCCTCTTGCAAAAATCTTGAAATTTTATATGAAAGGTACTTTTTTTGTTTGTGGTTGACGTTGCTAGATCAAATTAATATTCATATAATGAAATGTATCAAAATTCAGTATACTTGTTAACGAGGAATCTTATAGAATGTTTTATGAGAGAGTTATTTCACTTTTATTAGGTCTGTCTCCACTCATTACTTTTTTTATGCTTCCAAAGTATTTTGTTACACAACACATGTGTAAAATTGACACTTGACTAGCATCAAAGTTGAAATTATTCAAAAATTCAGTGTATTATTGATTTAACATATATTTTCATGCGCATCTAAACATGACCGATTTGCATATATCTCAACTTTATGTTTCTTTTTTTCCCAAACGCAACAGAAACTTAATTTTCTTTTTCCCTTCCCCAAGATCATTACAAAATATAATGTAATAATTCATGAGGCTCACGAAATCTTTTTCATGCACGTGCTTTCGTTTTATTAGAATGTACATAAATTATTTGCTCAAGAAGCAAAGAAATTGTGGCTTTGATTTTGAGCTTCTAGAATTAATTCGAGTTATAATTGAAGAATCAACTCAAACTCTTGCTTGTTATATATTTGCTTCCTAAAAGTTAGGTATGTTTTTGTTTTTAAAAAGCAAACAAAGATTAATGATGTTGTGGGAATATTTTCAGAACTGAAACAAAGTTTATCAAACAAAATTAAGCTGCAAAGTGATTTGTAAACTTGTAACGACTTTATTGATTTAATGCAATTTGAATTAATCCTAAAACTTTTTTTTTCATGTGACACTAGTAAAACCTACATTAAAAAGCTTAAGCACAATACAACACTTTTTTTAAGCCATTTGCAAGGATGATAACTTTGAAATTCATCTCAAACTTAAAATGTCCTTGAAATTCTTCTCTTTACTCAACGTTGTAAGAAAATTAAATTTTTATTCTCCTTAAAAAGGTTTTAGACATTTTACGCATGATTTATATTGTACAAAAATACAACAATAGCAACAAATGGGAGAAGAAAAGGAAGAAAAAAATAAACGAGAAGTTGCTCCTCGACAACCTTGGACGAGGAGCTTATTAGATATTTTAATTTTGCATGATTACATTTTCAAGAAAAGTCTGAAAAAAAACAAATTTAAAATTTTATGATTTTCGTCCTTTTTCCTTCCTTTTGGCTTTGTTTACATTAAGTATGAATGTTTGAAATAAACGCACACATTCTTTTGTTCCTGTATGTGTTTACAATGCGTCTTATAGTTTCAACGAGATTTTTTTTGTATTGTTTTATTTAAATCCAATGGAAACATGACATTGGACATTATTATTAATTTTTTTTACCTTTCAGTCACAAGTAATAAATGAGATTAAATTTTTATTCATTCGAGAGCCTATGAAAGGAGTGTAAAAACTGTTGATTATATAAATTATTAATTCAATATTATTACTGTTGCTTAATTAAATTCTCGGAGACACTTCCAATATCTACAAACATTTTTAAGACGCTTATGTTTACAATATTATTGTTATACCTTTATTTCTTATGTAGTTTTTTGTATATTGATCCGTGAAATGGGAAACTTTATAAAAGGGCAAAAAACTTTTTTAAAATTGCAAAGTTAAGGTGTTGCATATTTAATAAATTGTTCTATTTTTAGGGTGAGGCTGAAACCACTCCAACATTCGTATCCTTTTTTTTATATCTCTCAAGTTACACACACATACATACAGCAAAGCATGAACACGACGGTATCATTTTTCTCTTGTTTCTATTTTTTGCTTCATACCTCTTTCATTTAAGTTTCATTGAGTAAGATTTTCATGAATCTTACATACGGATAATATAATTTTTTTATATAAAAGGGTGAAAATTCTTTTACAAAAGTGGAAAAAAATGGGAAGGAAATAAATTTTTATAAAAAATTTGAGTACTTTTATTTAATGCAAAAGGTTTGTTCTACCTACACTGATATTTATGAAGATCCAAAAATTACATTCGCAGTGAATATAATGTATGTGAAAAGTTTTGGTTATATCCTTTTATATAAAAGTTGATTGATCATTATATAAACTTTAAGAACTATGATTCAATTTATTTCATCTACCTCTACAAGGTTCAATTACCTCAAATAAATTTATAAAACTTTTTTTTTGCAGAGCTCATATAATTCAAAGCAATTTATCTGGTTCTTAAAATCATAATTCAAAAAGTTCTTCTTATGTCTTATGCAATATCAACCACTAAATGGGATTCCACAACGATTTAACATGCTGCATTAGAGAAAAAGACATCATTTCCTTTTAAGTAGATAAATGGAAAGGACAATGTTAAGAATGAAAAAAATATAGAAGACATTAAAATGATATCATAACAATAAATGACAGAAGTCCCTGGCTGTGAGAGCAATAAACTCGAAATAGATGATCTAAATTTTGAGGGAAAAGTCTGAAAAATTTTTGAGGCAGTTTAAATTGCTTTATAGTCCACCCATTTATCTTAAGTACTTTTGATGAATGTAAGCACTACAGAAGTCTGATTTGAGAGTCAGATTTTTATTCTAGAGTAGTCATATCAATCAAGACAGATGATTTTTATATTAATAAATTGTGGACCACAGAATTTTCCTGAAATTACGTTTTTCTTTGTTGTTCCTAATAACATCATGTTATGAACAGTCATAAAATTTCTCTTATCGTGCTTACTTTGATTTCGATCAGTTTAAGGACTCTTAATAATGAATTGTCCCTTACCTTAAAAGAGAGCTACTTTTCATCGAGTTAAGTTGAATTATGTTTAAGTAAATGTTTAGTCAGTTTGACAACTTGAATGTGAGAATAATAAAAAAAGATAAAGAAAAAGCAGCAGCAAATCTATTGTGTAATTTACGACCCAAATTCGTCATCGTCATCATTTTTTTCATTCTTTTCTTCTGACTTTATTTTCCATCAACAAAACGCTCATCGTCGCCTTGTTCTTTTCTTTGTACTGTTGCTGCTGGTTTATAAAATAAACTTATAAAGGATTTCCGGGATGTGTTGTAAAAATATCACTTTCTTGTCATATATGATGTGCCTTGTTTCATAAATTTTTGTCGATTTATCCATCAATATGTATGAACTAATATCACTTCTGCGAGCTATGTGTTGAAATCATAAAAAAGCATGTCCCCAAAAAAAATGTCCACAATTTTTTATGATTGGCAAAAGTTTGTCATACTGAATAAATCACTGTTTATGTATATTTATAACTTTTCGATAGTACGTTTCACACTCAACATGAAGCATGTTTTAATGTCATTAACGCATTGTTGGTGGAGCTATTTTATGGAAATTTGGTACACAGAACCTGATAAACTTTACTCTCACACACTCTCTTCTCTCTTGTTCGAATTTATTTATCGCTATCGTTTGCGTGGCAAAAATGTCAAGTGTAAAAATTTGCATATTTAAATTTTCATTTCCCTCGCCATAATGATTTTTATGATCATCGGTTGTCCTTCGTCATCATAATCATCATCTCACAAAAGTTATGCAATAAAAAAAAATCTTTTTTTATTATTGTCTTGTAGAGCAGAACGGAAAAAAATTATGACTCTTCAATTTACACATGATTTCACTTCATCGTGCATTATTGAAGGATAACAAAAAATATCAGATTCATTTTTGATGGGTTCCTTGCCTCTTTTTATATTTTTACCAACAATGATGGGTCTAGATCACTTAAATGTATTTAGACACTTGATTGATTTTCTGCTTAACCGTTGTTTGGTAAATCATCAACACATTCACGTGCTTGAAGTGAAAAAGAACTACAGCCATTAAATCTCACACAAAAAGATAACTTTTTATTGATAAATATCCTGAATAAAACATTAAAGATTTTTTTTTTCTCTTCTTCTTGGAAATAGGAAATTTTCTTTTATTACTGATGATCTTCATTTCAGCACAGTCTATTATAGAAAAATCATTAAATGTATGCATCACTGCGGAAGAAAAATGTTATAAATATATATTGTCATCATCTCAATTCTTCCCATTGAACTCATCTGACTTGATAGCTTTGTCGAAAAATTGTCGACAGCGATACAATTTCTTTCTCTTACAATCTCTTATCATCACATTAAATTAAATGTTTGGTGACTTTTAAAAATAAAGAACAAAAAAAAATATTGAGACGAGAGAAATGTATGAATATCAATGTTTTGGAAGCCTTGAATTTCTCTCTTGTTCTTTTCTAAATGATGGAGAAAAAGTTATACAATGTCATTTAAGAGTCGACTGAGCACTTATTTGTGATCCTTTTTCCATTCAGTTTGTTACGCTTTTTTGACAATAAACGACCTACATTTTTTTCCTATTATTTGTGTCGATGATTCTTCAACACAATTTCAGACATTTCTACTGTATTTCTTGCTGAAGATAAATTAGCTTTTGAATGGAACCTTTGCTATATGTTTGTTATGCATGCTTTTCTCAGAAGTTCAAACAGAATATCAATTGATGCTTAAATTATCAGAAGATAAGTAATAAAATTTAAGTTCCTCGGAAATTGTGCCATTTTTCAACAATATTTTAAAACAATTGGTAATTGGGAG